TTATTGAGGTCAGCAAATTTGAGAATTAGGAATAGCTTGAATTAGCACTAAAAGAGGAGGACACATTTATATTCTGATTAAAGAATTACCTTCTAATGGTCTTTTATTTAACCAAACTAAGCAAAACGATGAAAAAAATAACCTACGCACTTGTGGAAAAAGTGAAGAACAAGAAATAGCAAAAATGGATGAATTTAAAGAGTTTGAAAAAGACTTCGAAGACCCCGAAAAAGAACTCAAACAATCCCAAGGAGAAACGGAACGAGACTTTGAAAAAGAACTGAAAAAAGAAAAGGAGAGGGAAAAAGAAAGAGAACTAGAACAACAAGCTGAGCAAGAATTAGAAAAAGAGAAAGAAAAAGACCGAGAAAAGGAAAAAGATTTAGAAAGAGAAAAACAACGAGAACGAGAACTCCAAGCTGAAAGAGAGAAAAAACAAAGAGAAAGTCAGCAAGAAAAAGAGAAAAAAGAACAAGCTAGAAAAGAAAGAGAACAAAAAGCCCGAGAAAGACAACAGCAAAAAGAAAGAACCAAAAAGGAAAAAGAAAAGAAAGATAGAGAAAAGAAGGAAAGGGAGTAAAAATTGTAAAATTAAGTATTATGGTAAGAGTTCAAAAGAATATTAATCAAAATGAGCCACAAATAACTCAAACTGAACAAGAAAAAGCAATTGAGCAAATGAAAGAATATTTGATGGGACCCCAAATGTGATTTTGTATAAAGACCAATAACCAAGATTTTAACCAAAGAACTCAACAAGGTTTTTATGAAAGGATAGGGATAAATACTCTTTCTCATTGACCAACTTTATTTTCCTATTTTCAAAATGAACCTGAAAAAATATCAATCCTTAATGACTTGAAGGAAAAGCTAGAAAAGATAAAGAGTAATAAATTACCTGATTATAATCGTGAAATGGCCAATGATATTTGTGATTATTTAATTGGGCAACGAAACCTTTCCCATTCTGAACAAAATGCTGAAAGATTATTGAGACCGTAAATATACCGAATGCCCTGAATGTGGCAAAAGGCAAAGGATAAGACAGTTTACGACTTACTTTGAATGTAAAGACCCTGATTGTGGTTATCGGGAAAAGGAATTTATTAAAATAAGCAAAAGAGAAAAAAGAATAAGGCCAATAATCGAAGAAATGGTTAAATGTTTACTGGAAGATGAAGAAGATATTGAAACTTTGCCGTTGGTTAATTTTCCTGAATTAGCTGGTGATAGTGGAGGAATTTGTGCTGGTTGATATGACCCTAATCTTCACACTATTAATATTCCTCGAAAGGCTTTTTATTTACCCAACCGAGAAATTATTGAAGATGTAGCTCATGAAAGTGCTCATGTCCTTTATCTTTGCCTTTCCCTTTCTTTTGTTCAATACTCAACATTTTCTCATATTTTTCTTTGGTCAGAATATTTTTTAAATCACCTCCTCCATCACCTTCTTTCTTGTCATCTTTCTTACCACCAAAAAGACTTGTTATTGCTTTGAAGCCTTTTTTAAATAATGTCCCACCAGGAACAAAAGAAGCTATTCCATTAGCTAACATCTTTCCTCCTTTTTTCACAAAGCCAAGTAAAACAGAACTGGTCAATTGACTAATAAAACTTTCATTAATTACCGAACCACGGACTTTTAATTCTCATTTGTAAAAAATGTCTCCACTCTCAAAACAATATAAAACACCACTGATGCTACTTCTAACTAATATTCGATAACCCAAAACCCAACCAGGATTTTTCCTTCTGACATACAAATGCTTTAAATTAGCTGTAAA